TAGGGTTTGCGATTTTCTTTCCAGTGTCTCTAGAGTCCAATATTTTCTTACGCTAAGTCTTAGGTAACCTTTATGTCCCCAAACACCTCCCACTTTGTCCCACCACACTGATACTCTCGCATGCATATGAAAGGTCACACATTTGCCATCCACACATTGCCCATTCTGTTCATAACCACTTCTACTCCCACTCCTCCCATTTTGCATAATCACAGACATGTATGCTTACACTCATTTGAATTTCCACAAAACTGTCCATGTTCCCTTCTTACACGTTCCCTGGCATCTCTTTCTTCAGCTGGTTTGCCACCCATTGCATGGTGCTCCAATTCTATGCTTTCTCTTCTGTTTGCAAAAATGAGTCATCTTACCTCCAGTATCTCTTTCTTGGCCCCAGTCCTCCTTCCTGTCGCAAATATACAGTCAGGCATTGCATATGTCCCCTCTGTAAAGTGCACCCCACAGAGAGCACTGTACTCAAATGCACTTCATTTTTTCCCTGAAATCAGGCCAGTTGTTCAGTGTTCACCATTATAGGCAGATACTTGATGCAAAATTTTAAAAAGAAAGACAATGAAAAACAATGACAAGAGCAACTAGCCAATCAGAGTAATGTCCCTTCTCTCTGCATACAATCATCTCCAGCTGTAGGCCCTTTATCTTGAGAGTTCATAATATAATGCACACACATAATTAACCCAAACAAACCCACTTTTGTGAAAAACATTTTGAAGACTTCAGCACAAAAGAGCACTTTTTGGTCCAGATCCCATACTATTCTGAATTTTTTAAAAGACCACACAGAAGCCTCATCAGCAGTACCCTAATTAAACTCATCAGTTCACAGATGTTTACAGGAAAATGATCAGCGAAAATTTTCACCAAGAAATCCTATTTCCTGGGAAGAGAGATGGATCGCAATGGTAATAATGATGAGAACTAATATAAACACTTTAATGTGCTTCCACTTTCCATAGACCAACACATAAATCAATAATCTTTGAGGTGGCAACTATTAGCATTCCTACTTTACAGATGTCAAAACTGAGGCTTACGAAGTTAAGTGTATCCCAGGGTCATAGAACTAGGAAGTGCCAAGGGCTCAAATCCCAGTGTGCCTGAGATAAAAAGCATGTGTTCTTAATCACTACATTCTGTTGCCAATATAATAAAACCACCTGTTCCAAGATTAAAATCCGTGCAAATTTAAATTCTTCAATTACCAAATAAAAGCCAACTGAACAAATGCTATTTAAACTGCTGTTATCCCCATCAATAGTCTCTTTCCCATTGCTCATCTCCACCCTTTCCTTAACTTCTGCATTCTAATCTAATGATTTTCCTAGAGTCTGTTAGTGAAGTCTCTTTCCAAAAGCACATTTAAGGGTAATGTTTACTGAATTGTTTCACTTCCTACCTCAAAAATGGGAAAAAGGTACAATTTAATAAGCACTGGCTCCATCTCTCTTTTGCTGATAATCTAAGGAGTTATGTACTTCCTGCACTCTGGGGAGAGAGACAATGAGCCCTCGTCAGCAACAGGGCTTTGGTGCCACCTCTAATCTAGTGCAGTGAGTTTCTAGCCTTTGGGGACTTTTCCCATTGCTTTGTCATAGTCCTTTGTGTTACGCCACCAAATTCTATTTCTCTTGTAGTTTTCAATATAGATGTTTCTGGGGCTATGGTCACAATATTCAGACCTGCTTTAGGCAATTATGTTTTGAGACAATACACCCACTTCCACATGCATTTTATACCATTGTATGACCATCACTTGTAAATATCCATTATTTAGGCACAAGTGGTACTGCCCTAAAATAACTGATTAACCAAATATAAAAATGTTTTAAAAGGATGGTGAACTATATTAAGCTACTTTCCATTTTACTTATTTTTATCATTGACTGTGTCAGCATACTAGGACAATGAAGCGTACTGTTGTCACTGGATTAAGCAAGACATGCAATGACTACTTGGGCTTTATAATCCTTTGAAACTTATATTACCTTTATATCTCAACTTGGAAAGAGACCCTGTTCACCTAAAGGAAGAAGGAATAGATAAATGATATAATCCCTAGAGTTAAATGAACACTTGAAGGCAGTCTCATTTTCATCCTTCAGGAGACCTGGGTTGTTACTGATATCTTTGCCATTTGGAGACTGTGACTGCTTTGTTCTAAGTTAAACACTCTTTAATCGTCAGATTTTCTCATATGTAAGGTAGGACTAATTACTAGTGTCTACCACGTGGAGATGTAGGGAAGATCAATTGTATGATTGGTGTAAAGATGTATGACATAGTACTTTCCAAATACGTGACATGAAAGCATTGAATAAATGTCAGATCTATTATTTTTGTCATTTCTCTAATTAAGGGCTGCTATCCCCAACTGTGCTTCCCATACTGGTAGTCCCTCTACATGCTACATGAGTCTATTCACCTATACATTCACCCCACAAGAAACAGTGTCCTGTTAGAATGTGCGTTTGGTGAGAGCAGGGACTGCATTTATTTGGAAGAATCAGTAGAGCTGAGTGGTTGAGACTATGACCCTGGGAGCCAAACTGCCTGGCTAGAATTCTGCATCTACTTCTTATCAGATCAATGACTTTGGGCAAGTTTCTTAACTTCTTCAAGACATGCTTCCCTCATCTGTCAAATGAAGGTAATTATATTAGCTATCTCATAGGTTATTGTGAGGTTCGATTGTGTTAATATATGTAAAATACTTTAGAATAGTGCATGACATTTGATATAGGCTATATAACTGCTTGCTATGATTATAATTATCAATTTAATTATTCAGCACTGTATCTCTAATACCTAAATGAGTGCCTGGCACATAATGGCTATGCAGTACACATTTGACCAATGAATGAGAGAAAATAAAAACCAATAAAGAGGCTCACAGCTCAGGGTCAGCATTTATACACATTAGTCAGATTCACCTCCTCACAATACCAGGGTTCCAACCTTGGGCTATACCACAAAAGACTAAATGGCATATGATACTTATATAGCAGCATGAGGTAAAAATAAGTAAATAATAAAAAATAATTCTACAAGGCATTGTATGACTAAAGTGCAAATTAGGCATCCAGATAATTTGAAGAACAATCCTCCCCTTCTCCCCTCCCGTCCTCCGCTTATTCATCGCTCCACTTTCTGTGGTTTCAGTTACCCTCAGTCAACCACAGTCAAGAACTATTAAAAGGAAAATTCTAGAAATAAGCAATTCATAAGTTTTAAATTGCACACCATTCTCAATAGTTGGCGAAATCTCACACCATCCTGCTCCATCTGGCTCAGGATAGGAATCATTCTTTTGTGCAGCATATTCATACAGTACATGCAATCTACTTGTTAATCACTTGTTTCACATCTCAGGTATCAGACTGATGATCATGCTGTCAACAGTGGTTGTGTTCAAGTAGCCCTGATTTTACTCAATGCCTTGAGATACAAAGATAGAAACGCTGGCATTTTATTGTAGTACATTCTTACAATTATTCCCTTCTATTATTAGTTATTGACCTTTTACTATGATTAGTTTATAATTAAATTTTGTCATAGTGTGTATGTATAGGAAAAGCATAATATGCATAGGATTCAATGCTATTTGCAATTTTAGGCATCCACTGGGGATCCTGGACCATTTCCCCTTCAGATAAAAGGGTACTACTGTTCTGAAGTGATGCATTCCAACGTTCTATGCACATTTATTTTAATTCTATATTACTTCAACAGAAAGTCACTAAATAATCACTCCATAGATAGACAATAGCCAAATATTTTTAATATTTATGAATATTTATTCTCATTTCTTCAAAGACTATCTTTCTAAAGACATTAGATTAAAACCAGAAATTTACTGGGAAGAGCTACTTTAATGTCATGGCCATGAAATAAGAATTACACTATATCACAGATTTCTCTGTACAATTAACAAAAGGGCATTGTTAGATGCTGATGGCAATAGGGTGCACTAGAACTTGCTCATCTGCAAAGCCTATATTCCAACATTAGCATGCTTTCCTTAAAATATTTTTATGTCTGGGAATGTAGCTAACTGATAGAGTTCTTGCCTAGTACGTGCTAGGTCCTGAGTTCAGTCTCCCACACCTAAAAAAAAGGACTCATATTAAATTTCATTTTGATAGAATATGTTTAATATGAGAAAAATCCCAGGTTTGGGGAGCAATAGGGAAACAGGAGGTCTCACTTAGTGGTGGTCTGAGAGTAAACTGGTTCATCTTTCAAAAGGCACTTTCAGAATTGATATAAAAAACATAATAATGTTCACACCACTTGGTCTAGCAATTCCATGTGTATGACTTATCCAAAAGAAATTATTAAAGTTGTATACAAATATAAAAAACATATTTCTTGCAATATTATTTATAGTAGCAACAAATTAGAAGCAAATAAAACATGTACTAGAAAGAAATTAGTTAAATCGATGTTATAGCCAAGCAACACAATGCTTTCTGAAAAATAAAAGTCATGCTGTTGAATTGCATTAATATTATCACTGCACGTTTAAACAGGCTCCAAAATAATGTGCATAAAATGGCTAAAATTGCTTAAAGAAATAATCCAAGTAGGGATTATGGATGACTTTCTTTTTCTTTTTCTTTTTGCTTTGTTTTGTTTTTTCTTCAGTTAACATGTATTACTTTTTAATCACAAAAATTTAGCAGATTAAGAGAAAACATTTGGCCCCTTATTTTTCTGCAAATACTATTCTGATTTCCATTATAATAAGTCACTTGCTTACAGAGAAAGGTAGAGGCAATTTTGTTTTTTAGCATCAGGACTGTACCTTATCTGCTTTGGCTAATGCTTAATCCATCTGTTCTGTCAAAGTGTGATGTAAATACCAAACTTACCATTGCAATTTAATCTTTTTAAAAGATCATAATTCCAGGTATCATCCTGCCTGAGTATATCTTACAATTTCATCAGTTTAACTCTAATATTGATGCTTGCCCTTTCAGGTAAACAACTACAGTTTAGAAGAAGTAACACATGAAGAGGCGGTAGCAATATTGAAGAACACATCTGATGTAGTTTATCTAAAAGTTGGCAAACCCACCACCATTTATATGACTGATCCTTACGGTCCACCTGATATTACTCACTGTAAGTACCATGCTCAGTGTCATCTTTGAATAGCATGCCAAGTACACAAAATTGGCTTTAAGAGAACCATTTTCAAAGTCCTCTGCTCATACCTTTACTCTTATCTAGCTTCTGGAAATACTTCAGAAAGAATATTCTGCACTTCATTCCCATGTTGCTTTACCAGATCATAGCTAATGTTTTGAAGGTGGGCCACCTTGATGAGTTTGCCAACTCCACCATTTGCTCCCCCATTATGGAAAGGCTGAATGGCATATGTTGTGAGCAGTGTGATTATAATAGTACAGAGGGAATGCATTCCAAAAGAGTATTTTTCAACCCATACAGCATAATAAATCTTACACCAGAGTCTTGTCTCTTTCTACTTTGGATCTAAATAGCAGCACAGTGGAAGAGAGAAGCTGGCAAAATAACCCAGAGAGCTCTGTGCTTCTTCCTGAGGAAGGAGCACCTGCGCTTGAATGGTGAAGTCATGATCCTCCATCATCATCAGAACACTTACCTTTACCCAAAATTGTTATATTGTAGGGAAGCAAGAGAAAATAATCAGTCATGGATAGTAGAAGTAGGTTGAGGAGGGAGTTCTAGGGCAACAAACAACATGAGTTGCATGCTGGGATCTCACAAAATTCACTGCTACATGAGAGCCATGTTTTCTCCTCTTCTTAGTAAATCAACAAGAACCTAAGGTTCTGTTATTGGGAAGTGGATTTAGAAGAAGTTCACTTTGAGATGAAAATTAAATGGCTAGTTTTGTTGACATAAGTATGCTTGCTCATTATGAAGCCTTGGGAGTCCAGTTGTGAGTCTCACAACTCAGAATGTGTTCAAGACCTGCCATTAGTTAGTACTATGGTCATAAGTTATTTAATATTTCTTAGATTCATATGTTTCTCCTGAGAGAAATTTAAGGGTTAAATAATTTCATTACCTGCCCCATTTCCTTAGCTATTTCTTTTCTTAATGATTCTAAAATGTCTTGTCCCCCCCACAAAAAAGTCTTTTTTTAAAGAAAGAAGTAAGCTGACTAAAGACTTATCTTAGAATAGGAAAGAGTTTAACTTTCCATTTTTCAAACTAGATGAATTTAGAAAAATTAGCCTTGAGAGTTTATAAGCCACTTTGTGTAAGGCATGTAAGGTCAATGGCAAATAAAAAAAGATGGAAAACAAAACTTTCTAATCAGTTTGAGAAGTATGTATTAAGCAACTAACCATGTGTGAGATACTTTGTAAGATAATAAGTGGGATGCAGAGGAAATATAATCATGGCCTTGAAGGAGCTTGCTAGTAGGAAGTTAATTCAGGTATATTAATATAGAAATAATTGGTAGATTAAGAGGGGTGTATTTGCTAGAAGAGAAGTAGAAATAAATGTCCCTTTGGGAGGGCGATATGTAATCTGTCTTTGGAAGATCAGAAAAACCTTTATGCAGAGGTACCATCTGAATTATGTCTGAAGACTGATGAGATGTCTGCATATGAGCTAGAAGAGGAGACATAAATTGTAGATACTTGATAAAATGGAAAAGGTGAAAATATCAGAAGCACACACTTTGTTTGAGAATAGCAGGATATGTGATAGAGAGGTATTGAAATGGATCAAGTTTATAAGAATAACAAAGAGGACAGTTTATACTATATCCAGTACAATAGTGGCAATGTAGAACATTAAGCAAGGGAACCATTTAAGCATGGTTAGACCTGGATTTAAGGATGGTTAACTTCATCTCAATATACAAGTTGGATCTGAGGAGAGACTGAGGAGCAGGATCCCTAGTCAGGAGATGTCATCAGTTGCTCAAAATGGAAGTGAGTTAGGAAGAGGAATGGAAAAGAAAGGTCAGAGTATAGTGCATTTAGGGTAAAAATCTTATGTAAGAATTTATTCTGTAGGAGCTTTTTGATGATTGGATAGTAATTATGTGAAAATAATGAGAGCCCCACAATTGGAAAGCTACCATTTTCATTTCAATAGAAAATCAATCCTCATTCTGAAAGCATGTATGTTGGGGTTACAAATATAGCTGTTATTACATCTTTCCAATTCCAAAGGTTACTGTGCACTTGTATATCCTAAATGCAAAAAAAACAGCAACTTCTCCCTCTTGGAGGACAAGAAAATCTTTGTCATGTAGCAAAGACTGCATTTTTAGTATATTCTTTAGAGTACAGCAAGGCACATTGAATCACCCACATAACAGGTTTCATTTTATTTCTTTTTCTTTTTCCAATCCCTCAGCTTACTCTCCACCAATGGAAAACCACCTACTATCTGGCAACAATGGCACTTTAGAATACAAAACCTCCCTGCCGCCCATCTCTCCAGGAAGGTACTCGCCAATCCCAAAGCACATGCTGGTTGAAGATGACTACACCAGGTTAGATATGCCTGATGGTTAACTGGGTTTGTTGTCACTACCAGGAAAAAAAAAATCACGTTTGCCTAACTGTCAGCAGTTGCTTTGGGAACTAACTAAAGTTCCCAAAGCAAAAGTTTGAGCCATTCAAACTTAGTATAGTTCTGCCTCAACTGGAAATCTGCAAATACTTGCAAACATGTGCTAACATCCTCTATTTGGAAGCAAAGTCACAAATTCTTTGGAGAAATAGAAATACACACTTATCCGCCATTGTGATTTGTTAAGACTCTTCATGTCTGATCCCATTTGACCATTGTAGCCATTCTGTAAGATGGGTATTATCACTTGATGAGAGAAGTTAGTGCTGTTGTTCATAAGGAAGGAAGTACATACAAATATTACCAGTATCTGGTTAATTGAGGTCAGAAGTGAAACTGCTCTTCTGACTCATGTTCTTGCCACAAACAGCCACCTATGTTTCAATATTTGAGCAAATCACCTCTTTCTCTGTGCAGTAACTTTAGGTAGAAAGGAAAGGAGTGAAGTTAACTTCAAATGGTTTGAAATTAATACACCATTTATTCCAAAGGGGAACAGAGCCAGATTCTAAAAGTATAAAACTGCATTACTAACCTTGTAAGTGAAGCCAAATATGTCAGTGTTCCTCTGAAAAAAGTTGGGTCTGACAGTTCAGGAAGAAAACCACCTGAATTTATTTAAATTTTCATCCATAAAGACCCAATAAATATTGAATGATGAATAAATTAATGAACAAATGATAGCTGAATAATAAGGAATGTACATTTTCTTCATATTGTTCAATGTTTTTATTCCAAACTAATATATGCTTCTTACATTGGGTGATGGGATGCAAAGGTGAGGAAAAAACTACAATTTCCCTCAAACTCCCTCCAGTGTGACCTATCTTGAGGTACACTCAGTATGGCAGCCTGTGATGAACTGTTCATATGTTCTCCATGCTCATACAAACACAGACAGATGCATACTCAGATACAGGTGGGGCTTGACACCAACATGGCAAAACAAGTTCATATTTTACACATCGCTCTGCAATTTGATTTTCTCCGTGCATAATACTTTACCAAAAATAAGAATAACTATAGATGCATACTTTATTTCTGTATGTTTTCTGTGTAAAAATGAAAGGGATGAATTATTTTGGTTTTTATATCACACCTGTATAATTGAAGTCATTTATCAGCCTTTTAAAAAGTAGAGGAGATTGACTGCTGGGACATGCATGCATTCTTTGTCCTTTTCATTCTTTGGTGTATCTTTTTAAATGATTAAGCATTTTTCACACATTTTGCAATATCAGGTTTGCTGAAGTAGCTTGTTATATCTTTAGCCAAGGAATGGAATGTTTGGAAGCTGGAAATGTGCATCTGTGGTATAAGTCAAATATAAATTTCTTCCTATGCTGAAATGTTTGATCTCTATGTTCTTAATTAAAATAAGGACTACAGCAAAGGCAGTCCTCTGTAAGGAATTAGGTAAGTATAGGCACCTTTATCTACCAGAGCAATGACCTTTTGCTCTTACTCTATTGCTACTATTTGATGTGCATTTACTTAGAAAATGCCATTTTATCCTACAGCATCCATAATAAATGAATATTTATTAAAGCCTCTTTACTAGTTATTTTATATATACCATAGATTTACATGCACTACAGATGTAATCCTCCCCAAAACAGAGAGAGACTTTCATCCCCATTTTTGAGATGTAGAAATTAAAGCTCAAAAAAAGGTTAAAGAAATAGCTTGTGGTCACAAACTCTCAAGTAAAAGAAATTGAATTCCTTGACAGATGTTAAATTCTAATGAAGAAGAAACAGTTTAATGTTCTCCTTAATTTCAAAATGAAAATCAGGTCATATAAAGCTCTGCTTATCACATAAATGTGAAGGTAGAAAGGGATCTGAGGGCATGGGCAAGCTCTAAAGGCAAGTAGACCAGCGTTGAGACTTACCTCTGTCACCTGGGCTTTGGTTTCCTCATCTGTGCAAAGGAATAATGATTGAATCTATCTCAACAGGTTGTGGAAATGATCAAATGAGATAATGAATGCAAAGAACTTAGAACAGTGGCTGTCACATAATAAGAACTCAATGAATGTTATCCGTTTTCAGTACCTATACTTAGTATCATTACTAATCTGCTTCTGATGTCAAATGGAATGTTCTTACAGATGGTCTCTCTGGCAGACAGTCAATTTCTACCTACAGTGAACATGCTTCAATATCTTACTTCCTGCCCCTGGTTCCTCCTCTCTTTCCCTGAAGTGCAGTTTTACTAGTAACTGCAAACTTTCTGAGTGATTGGTGCCCGGCCAAATTATGAAATAAATCATATGAACTCACATGCATGCATACCCTTCTTTCAGCTCTCTCACCACTACTGTGTTCTCTCACAGGCTCCCTGCTATCTGTATTACCATGGGGCCAAGAGATAATTTGCTCAGAAACAGATGTAATGCCTCACTCATTCATTTTAATTGAATATTTTCTACTAGACAGGGGACACTGTACTTGAAATGCAAAATCTAAAAAGAAATACTATCTAAGAGGGGGTAAAAATGATTGAAGTACATTATATGCATACATGGAAATATAAAAAAAAAACCACACAAGAATTATTAAATTGAGGCAAAACTATACTTAAACCAGTGGGTTCCCCAATGCCTGTTTCCTGAGTATTTACCTCATCCTTCTGTAAGGTTTTTCCACAAAGCCTAATTTTTTGTTTCATAATGTTGAGATTCTATATTCTGATATTAAGATGCCCTTTCTTTTATGGAAGTATAATGGTAGCCGATGGCAGATATGCTCTAGAAGATAAAATGTTAGCAACTTGCATTAGCCCTAATTCTTTTTAAATGTCTAAGGTCTTAGATAAAACATCTGGGAACTACTAACGGAAGCAAAACAAAACTTGATCGCTTCTGTGAAATGCTCTAATAATGTAGCCTTAGCAGAGTTCCCTAACACCATAGGAGGTATTCAGGAAACTTACAAATGAGGTTTAGTTTTACATGAATGCCACAGGAAGAGCCTATGGCATCTAAAAAAAGTTTAAAGAAGGAATGACTCTTGAGTCTGAACTTAAAAAACTGTAAGCATTGGTCAGAATCAAGGGGTCAGAAAGAACATTTATAGTAGGGATTTAGTTTGTACAGACTCACAGAAGAATTTGAAATAAAATAAGAGAAAAGCAAACGGTACAGTTTGAAATATAACTCATAAAAATAAAATTATACTTACCTTTAAGTTATTTTTATATTTCTATTCTTTCTCTCACATGGAACCTACATATAAGATCGAAAACACATAAAAGAGTAAAAACAAAAAGGTCCCTACTATGATAATTAGCACTAGCTGCTTAATATCTATCGTCACCCTGTATTGATGTGGTATGATACCACTAGGGGTATATGATACTCCTAGTCTTGATTTTTGCAGATAACAAAAGGACTCAAAGAGGTTAAGAAATTATTGCAAGTCAAACACCAAATAGCAGAATCAATATAAGAGTTCCAATCATTCTGTCCTTAAAGGTCAAATCCCCACATCCCCACCCTTTATCTTATAGAAAAACGTTGGATAATCAGGACTGGGCTTGTAATCCTAGTCCTACCCCGTACTACCAATGTGACTGAGCAAGTTACTTAATCTCTGCAAGTCTTGATTTTTTAATCTGTGGATTTAGGATAAAGGACCTTCTGATTTCCCAAAGAAATTATAAGGCTTTATACCAAGATTAACTCAAAATGGATCAAGGATCTTAATATCAGACCCCAAACTCTTAAGTTGATACAAGAAAGAGTAGGAAATACTCTGGAGTTAGTAGGTATAGGTAAGAACTTTCTCAATGAAACCCCAGCAGCACAGCAACTAAGAGATAGCATAGATAAATGGGACCTCATAAAACTAAAAAGCTTCTGTTCATCAAAAGAAATGGTCTCTAAACTGAAGAGAACACCCACAGAGTGGGAGAAAATATTTGCCAATTATACATCAGACAAAGGACTGATAACCAGAATATACAGGGAACTTAAAAAACTAAATTCTCCCAAAACTAATGAACCAATAAAGAAATGGGCATGTGAACTAAACAGAACTTTCTCAAAAGAAGAAATTCAAATGGCCAGAAAACACATGAAAAAATGCTCACCATCTCTAGCAATAAAGGAAATGCAAATTAAAACCACACTAAGATTCCACCTCACCCCTGTTAGAATAGCCATCATCAGCAACACCACCAACAACAGGTGTTGGCGAGGATGCGGGGAAAAAGGAACCCTCTTACACTGTTGGTGGGAATGTAGACTAGTACAACCACTCTGGAAAAAAATTTGGAGGCTACTTAAAAAGCTGGACATCGATCTACCATTTGATCCAGCAATACCACTCTTGGGGATATACCCAAAAGACTGTTACTCCAGAGGCACCTGCACATCCATGTTTATTGCGGCACTATTCACAATAGCCAAGTTATGGAAACAGCCAAGATGCCCACACTGACGAATGGATTAAGAAAATGTGGTATCTATACACAATGGAATTTTATGCAGCCATGAAGAAGAACGAAATGTTATCATTCGCTGGTAAATGGATGGAATTGGAGAACATCATTCTGAGTGAGGTTAGCCTGGCCCAAAAGACCAAAAATCGTATGTTCTCCCTCATATGTGGACATTAGATCAAGGGCAAACACAACAAGGGGATTGGACTATGAGCACATGATAAAGCGAGAGCACACAAGGGAGGGGTGAGGATAGGTAAGACACCTAAAAAACTAGCTAGCATTTGTTGCCCTTAATGCAGAGAAACTAAAGCAGATACCTTAAAGCAACTGAGGCCAATAGGAAAAGGGGACCAGGAACTAGAGAAAAGGTTAGATCAAAAAGAATTAACCTAGAAGGTAACACCCACGCACAGGAAATCAATGTGAGTCAATGCCCTGTATAGCTATCCTTATCTCAACCAGCAAAACCCT